ATATCCCTTCAAGGGTAGAAAAGAGGGTGTGACAGCTCTAGCGACTCCGCTGGGGATCGAACCCAGAATCTCTGGTTCAGGGTTCAAGAATTCGAGCTTTTAATATGATTGTTACTTGGCTTTATTTATTGTTGATATTACTGTATTTTGTGGACCTAATGTGCTAATTGCTGTTTATTTACTCTTTTGATATTATTTGAACTGTGTTAAAATGCCTTCTTACGCCGCCCTTCTGAGTCTTCTGGAATATGGTGCACACGTACGCGTGGCCCACTTTCTGTTAAAAGTCTTATCAATTAGAACGTGGCTTGGGTCAGCAACAAGGCTGGGTAGACTTTTGTTCTCCCGGTACGTTGCCCCCACCTCGGCACGAGCTGTCCGCTCGGGTAAGCCAGGTCTAGAACACAACCCCAGGTTTAAACCTAGAATAACATAACCTCATGCCGGATCCCTAGTAGGAACCTTTGTTTGCATCACGTGCATTTGACTTAGGGGACTCAACACAGGGGTTGGGTCCGTCTAGGGCAGGTGTACCTAAAATAACAGACCATCCTGATGCATCTTACGTGCTATGTGAATATTTATTTGTTTCGGCTTGCATGTTGACCGGCTAGGAAAAGAAAATCAAGAGAAAAACCAAGAGTGATGTAGGAAGAAAATAAAACCCGATTCTGAAAACCCCGGTATTTGAAAATGTCCCGAAACTCCGCCGAAATTCAAAAAAAAAGGGTTGAAAAAAAAGAAAAGAAGAAGAAAGGGAAAAAGTGTAATTTCAAAATGAGTCATTCATGGTTTTCCAATCATGTCAAAACTGACCGAACTACACAGGTCTGATTCTCACCGGATGTGTGATACGTAGGCAACCTACATAGGGTTCGGCCTCATTTTTGCAAAAATAACCAAATAAAATAAAGTGTAGTTAGGGCTTTGGTCATAAGAATAAGCCGACCCAGCTACGGTTATGTCTTAAGCCATTCTTGCCGGGATAGCATTAGAGTATCTTTCAATTGTTGAAGGGCTATTTTCATAAAGAACGGGCAAGTCTGTCAGTAAGGTGTCATTTTTTTTAGCATCTTCCCCGGCCTCAAAATTTATTTGGAATTTTGAAGGGGCCACGTTTACAAAACCGACCACTTTTGTTAAAATAACATAGGGGGGAAGGGCCATTTTCCTTTGATTTTTCCTTTAGAAGTTAAGAACTGGTTTTCGCAAAAAGAGTCCACCAGAGTCAACCCTAACCTTAACCATCCACAGGTACGAAATGAACACTGTCCAGAACCCGTCACTATTGGTCATAGAACAGGCTCAGCTGCAGCTTCGTATGTGGCGGTATGATTTAGATGAAGATGGTCAGGATTGGGTGAAAGAGCATACGGGTGCCCTTACAGACATTATGGAAATCAAACCGCGGGAGGATCTAATCAAGGCCTTGGTGACTTTTTGGAATCCTGTTCACAACGTTTTCCGCTTTTTAGATTTTGAGCTTACCCCTACTCTGGAGGAAATGGCTGGATATATTAACTTTGGTCGGGATTTGAGAAAACAGCAGCTTGTATTCCCAAGGGCCCCCTTTGTGCACAAATTCTTTGATCTCCTGAATATCAGCAAGCAAATGAAGAAGGCCCATGTAAACAAAGGATGTTGTTCCTTTTGCTTCTTGTATTCCAGGTTTGGGCACTCAGTTGGGTTCGAAACACACGAAAAGGGATTGAACAACAAACAAGACAAGAGCATTTGGCAAATTCATCATAGGTTCGCTTTCATAGTGGCGTTCTTGGGAATTATAGTCTTTCCGAATGCAGAAGGGACAATAGATATTCGCATGGCCAGAATCGAACAAATCCTCACTACTAAAAAAGACCATACACTTGCTCCATTAGTGCTGGCAGACATTTATCGAGCGTTAACATTGTGTAGATCCGGGGCTCAATTCTTTGAAGGTTGTAATGTTATTCTGCAAATGTGGTTGATCGAGCATCTCCGCCATCACCCCAAATTCATGAGTTATGGCTCGAGCAAGGATAACTTCATCAGGAGTTATGAGGAAAGGGTAAAAGACTACAATTCTCTAGAAGGGTTTGAAGCTTGGGTCTCCCACTTAAGAACTCTAAAAGCAAGTCAGATTGAATGGACTCTAGGATGGCTCCCGGTGACGGAAATCATACACATGACGGCTACAAAAGGCTACCTAATGTTGATGGGTTTGAGAAGTGTCCAGCCTTACGCACCGCAAAGGGTTTTAAGGCAGTTAGGAAGATATCAGGTGGTGCCCGAAGATGAAGATTTAAGTAACCAAGTCATTGAGCTACACCCAGAAGCTACATTACCCGAGGCTTTAGTCCAGGAGGATTGGAATGGTTGCCGATATCTGAAAAATGACACCCAGGTACCAGATCTTGCGAGAGGAGAAGTGGATCCAGATTATGCTGTGTGGTTTGAGAGAAAGGCTTGTGTAAATAATGAGCTAGAGCCCGAGCCCGAGAGGCCCGCCAAGAGACCTCATGTTCAGGCTTTTGATGAAAAAGTCCGAGAAAGGTTGGCCTGGGCAGAAAAGGAGAAAAAATATCAAGCCGTCATTCACACCCTGGAAGAAAAATTGAGGAACGTTGAATTCAATAATGATCTACAGGTGCAAGAAGCTGAAGGTGAAAGGAGAAGGTTGGTCCAAGAAAATGAAACCCTCCGAGCTCAGATTCAGAGGATGAAGATCGCCACTGAAAACCCGGCCAGAAGCAGACAAGATGAAAAAATCATAAATAGTCTTAGACGAAAAGTGTGCGATTATGGGGCTGACTTGGAAAAGGCCGAAGAGGAATTGGCAAAAGCCCGGGCAAAATTGGCAAAGAATGCAGAATGGCAGGCGAAGTTTGTTCAATGGCTAAAGGAAAAGTATGACAGAGAAGTCACGTCTCCAAGGAAGAAGCTGACTACTCTTGAAAATGAAATGGCCCAACAAACAAAGAATTTCAAAGCAGAAAGAGAGCATTGGTATGCACTAATTTGCCAACTGGAAGAAAGCATGCAACAATTACAGGACCAAAACAACACAGATACCCAAGTGTTGGAAGTTTGGGCGCAGCAAATAGGGCGTCTACTTCAGGAGAAAGGTGTCATCAGAACAAGGATTAAAGAGATAGCTGTCTATATCGTGATGAAATGTCACGAATGTGATGACATGACTAGGTCAATGTTTTTTGCTTCCGTTATGACATTCGTTCGCCAGGTGATGGCTGACTTGGAGCGTCTTCAACAGGATATTGCACAAAGGCCCGCACAAAGACCGGATAATGTTCCGCAGGCTCCAGCACCGGTGGAAGCTCTTATGTACTCCTGACTTTCTTTTGGTTTTAAGTCTGTATTTCATTTTTTAAGTCTGTTAGTTTTTTTAAAAGTCTAGTTTGTTTTTCCTGTTTAGAGTCTGTATGTCAGAGTCCTTGTAATAGAAAATCCAAAAAGATTTTATTGAAAACCTCAAAAATTTTCTTTCTTTTATATCATATTTATCCCCTGAACTACGTAATGATATGATTCATGCGGCGTCATGATACGTAGGCAATCCCCATAGGATTCGATCATAACCATAAAATGAAAAGAGAGGAAAGAAAATTGAGTGGAAAGAAAGAGTGGCAAAACAAGAGAACAAAAGAGAGTGCAAAAATAAAGGGGAGCTACAGGAACCAAGTGAGAAAATCAATAGTGATTAAAGAAAGGCATTGAGAGAAAGAAAAGAAATTGCAAAGTGAAAAGAGTTAGTTAAGGTCGGGATGAAGCATGCAACCGTTCAAATACACGATAGAAGCATTCAACTATTTAGGTGCATGCATCCCAAACGTGCGATTGCCTATCTGTTAAACTCTTAACCGCTAGCAAGTTTGCTATTGCTATTGAGTACAGGAAGGTGGTTAGTTTGTTTGGCATTCTGGCAAGCCACCCATATAACACCAGAGAGATGGTGGAATCTGAGTCTGGTTTGAAAGAAGAGGTTCATAAGCTGAAACACCAAATGGCCGAAATGTATCAAGCATGGATCAGGGGGCATCCTCCACCGTCATACCCTGCCAACTACACAGAAAACCCTGCTTTCATCCCTCCACTATCTCAATCCCAAGATCCCACTATTGTTGATCCATCCCCGCAGAATGCACCAGGCTTCACCCCTTACCACCACTATCCCGGCACCTCAACCCAAACTGTCCAAGCTCCCCCAGCCAAAGCAACCACATACCCTGCTCTGCCAGCTACCCTTGTCTTCGGAGCCCCTCCGCGAACTACCCTCTATCGATCTTCTAGTGAGCCGGCATTCCAAGCCCAGCTAACCAATACTATGCCCCGGAGCCCACTTTCAAAGTCCCGGATCATTACTCCTACACTTCTCATTTTGAACTTCCTGTCGAAACTGAGAAGCCACCCAAAAACGCAGAGCAAGAGGAGATATTTGGGAAGGCAAAGAGTTTGGAACAGTTACTAAGAAATATGCAAGGGTTGGGAGGCCAAGTGAGTGTGGCTTATAAGGATCTGTGCTTGTTTCCCGATGTCCAGCTACCTGCTGGATTCAAAATGCCCAAGTTTGACTTGTACGACGGGCATGGAGACCCCGTGGCCCACTTAAGAGGATTTTGCAGCAAAATGAGGGGTGCTGGTGGGAAAGATGAATTGTTGATGGCATATTTTAGTAAAAGTTTGAGTGGCGCTACGTTGGAATGGTACACCCGCCAAGACAACAACAAGTGGTACACTTGGGATGACTTGGCCCAGGCTTTCGCTCGGCATTTCCAGTACAATGTAGAAATTGTCCCAGATGGCCTATCCTTGACTAAGATAGAGAAAAAGCCTAGTGAGAGCTTCAGGGAGTATGGTTTCAGGTGGAGAGAACAGGCGGCACGAGTCAACCCTCCAGTGGAGGAAGATGAAATGGTGGAGTACTTTCTTCAGGCCTGGAGCCTACTTACTTTGGTCATCTGATTTCGGCCATATGTAAGTCTTTCAATGAAGTGGTATAGATGGGAGGAATGGTAGAGGAAGGACTCAAATCAAGCAAGATCATGAGTTACTCTGCCATCAAAGCAACTACACAAGCGATCCAGAATGGCATCGGGGGCATGTTAGGGAAAAAGAAGAAAGAAGATGTTGCTATGGTCATCTCAGGATCGTGGCATGGCCCAAGGGGTTTACCACACCATTACACCCAGCCTCGATCCCAAAGCAAGACCCTCAATATCCAGTCAGACCACCCCAATATCACGTCCACCACGCACAGTCATATGCTCAACCCCCTCCTCACCCGCAATGGCATGCACCACCTCTACAAAATCCTTATCCACCTCCACAAACATACCAAAACCCTATTGGTCCAAGCTTTCAACTCAGGCCGGAGTATAGAAAGGAAAGGAAGCAGCAGAAGCAAACTTTCACCCCACTTGGGGAGTCTTATGCCAGTTTGTTTCAGAGGTTGAGGCAGTTGGATGTTCTGAGGCCGATTGAGTCAAAATTACCAAATCACCCTCCAAAGAACCTGGATTATTCCCTCAGATGCGCATATTGTTCTGATGCTCCGGGGCACGACACAGAAAAGTGTTGGCATTTGAAGAGCGCCATCCAAGAGCTTATCGATACAAACCAAATTGTGGTCCAGAGCCCGGAAGCTCCAAACATCAATCAAAATCCATTGCCAGCCCATGCCAAAACGCACATGATTGAGATAGTGTATAAGGATGGAGAGCCCGAGAAGCCTTCGAAGTTTGTCATGATGATCCGTGCCAGTGAAAGTAATTCAGTCAAAACACCAGTTCTTACAAATGCAACATCCTCGACAGCTGATGGGCTGACGGATAAGTTAAGCCCACCCAATGTTAAGCCGCCTGTATTAGTTGTGAAAGGGTTCCCAGATGATGTTGAAGCAAAGCAAGGAAAGCCGAAAGTGGTCGTACCGAGGATAGCAAGTAAGCCTGTCATAATCGTGGAAGGGGCTCGCATTGACCCTGTTATTATTAAATCTGTGACCCAGCTGCCGATAAATAACACCAAGGTTGTTCCATGGAATTACAAGCAAGTGATAGTAACTTATAAAGGGAAAGAAGTGGAAGAGGAAGTTAATGAAACCCGGGGGTTGACTCGTTCGGGGAGATGCTTTACTCCAGAGGAATTAAGGAAAGCTAAGCCACTCAAAGATAACCCAATCCCGGTAAAGAAGCCAGTTACCGAGGAGGAGGCGGAAGAATTCTTGAGAAAAATGAAGGTGCAGGATTACTCCATCCTGGAACAATTGAGGAAGACACCCGCTCAAATTTCTCTTCTATCACTGTTGATACATTCAGACGAGCACCGCCGGGCCCTCATGAAGATTTTGAATGAGGCTCATGTCCCGGATAAGATTACAATGAACCATTTGGAGAAGATTGTCAAAAAGATATTCGAGGCAAACAGGATCACTTTCTCGGATGACGAGCTGCCTTTGATGGGTACAGAACACAATCGAGCTCTTTATCTCACAGTGAAATGCGAGGATTCTTTGGTCTCAAGGGTACTAGTTGATAATGGTTCCAGTGCAAATATTTGCCCTCTCTCCATTCTGCAAAAGTTGAAAATTAATACTGAAAGGATCCACAAGAACAGTATATGTGTTCGAGGGTTTGACGGAGGGGGAAAAGATTCTGTTGGCAATATCGTGCTCGAATTGACAATAGGACCAGTTGAATGTACTATGGAGTTCCAGGTGTTAGATGTGGCCGTTTCTTACAATTTACTGTTGGACAGTCCCTGGATACATGTTGCCAAGGCAGTCACTTCTTCCCTGCACCAGATGGTAAAGTTCGAGTGGGACGGACAGGAAATCATTGTGCATGGTGATAAGAACTTATGTGCTTACAATGATACATACGTCCCGTTTATTGAAGCCGAAGATGATAAAGGGCCTTGGGTCTACCAAACTTTCAAAATGGTGTCAGTTGAGAAGATTCCGGAAGGGGAGTGTATTCCAGGTCCAAAGTTAGCCTCCGCATCCGTCATGGTAGCATCTGAAATGCTGAAGAATGGTTTTGTGCTGGGCAAAGGTCTGGGCGCATCTTTACAAGGTATCGTGCAGCCAGTGTCTCTACCTGAAAATCTGGGTACGTTTGGTCTGGGATTCAAGCCCACATGGGACGAGGTGAAAAGGGCTAAAAGGTTGAAGAAGAAGGCATGGTCACTCCCTAAGCCTATCCCACGCCTCTCCAGGTCCTTCATCAAGCCAGGGGTCGTGAAGCACACAGTGTCAGCAGTCCCAAAGCCTGTGGTCGACTTTGATGAAGAGCTGATTGAAAGGTTCCAGAGTCTACTTGATGAGGTGAACATGGTGGAAATTGGGGAAGGTTCCAGCAAAGCAGATGTGCAATTTATTGGGCCAAAAGTGAAGCTTAACAATTGGAAGACTACTCCTCTCCCTACTCGGAAGGAGTTTTGGTAGTTTGCTTTGTTTTCCTTTCTATTATCCTGGTTATTCCAGGGTTGTAATCCAGATTTTTATTTTTGGCTTGTTTTGATGTACAAACCCTTCTATCCTTTATTTTCAATGACATGCAATTTCCCTTTTTCCATTACTCCTGATAGTGTCATTTTTGTCTTTCTTTGTACAGTTCTTTTTATGCTAGTTTCAATGACATGACATGCATGAGGAATTTTCGGCCAAGTCTTAAAAGCTAATCTAACTCTAAAATAATAATCCAAGAAGTAAAGTGTGATGATGAAACAGAATATGATGAAGAAGCGGCATTTGAGGAAATTAGTAAAGAACTAAATCATTTTGAAGAGAAAACCAAGCCTAATTTGAATGAAACTGAAGCAATCAATTTAGGAGATCCAGATAATATCAGGAAAACCAAGATAAGTGTACACTGGGAACCACAAATCAAGGAAGAAATAATCAAAGCACTGTTTGAATATAAAGATATTTTTGCATGGTCATATGACAACATACCGGGTTTGTGTACTGACTTGGTAGTTCACAAGTTGCCAACTGATCCGGCATTCCCTCCTGTCAAGCAAAAGTTAAGGAAGTTCAAGACTGACATGAGTGTGAAGAACAAGGAAGAAATCACAAAACAGCTGGATGCAAAGGTCATTCGAGTCACTCGGTATCCCACTTGGTTAGTTAATGTTGTGCATGTACCAAAGAAGGATGGTAAGACCAGGGTGTGCGTTGATTACCGTGATCTCAACAAGGCAAGTCCAAAGGATAACTTTCCACTGCCGAATATCCATATTCTGATTGATAATTGTGCCAAGCATGAGATCGGGTCTTTTGTGGCTTGCTATGCGGGATATCACCAGATCTTGATGGATGAGGAAGATGCAGAAAAGACAGCGTTCATCACTCCATGGGGAAAATATTGCTACCGGGTAATGCCATTTGGTTTGAAAAACGCTGGGGCAACTTACATGAGGGCAATGACTACCATATTTCATGACATGATACACAAGGAGATTGAGGTTTATGTAGGTGTTGTGATCATAAAGTCAAGGAAGCAGTTCGACCATGTCGGGGACTTGAGAAAGTTTTTCCAGAGGCTCCGCAGGTACAACCTCAAGCTCAACCCTGCAAAATGCGCATTTGGTGTCCCGTTTGGGAAACTGTTGGGGTTCGTAGTCAGTCGGCGAGGTATCGAGTTGGATCCGTCAAAGATCAAAGCTATCCAAGAATTGCTACCGCCTAAGAATAAGACTGAGGTGATGAGTTTGCTCGGGCGGTTAAACTACATCAGCAGGTTTATCGCTCAACTCACGATAACTTGTGAGCCCATCTTTAAGTTGCTGAAGAAGGATGCCGCGGTCAAATGGACCGATGAGTGCCAGGAGGCATTCGATAAGATCAAAAGGTACTTGTCAAACCCACCTGTGTTGGTCCCACCGGAGCCCTGGAGACCTTTAATTCTCTACTTGATAGTCCTGGATAATTCATTGGGTTGTGTGCCGGGTCAACATGACATCACTGGCAAGAAGGAGCAAGCCATTTATTATCTCAGCAAGAAGTTCACTTCATATGTGGTCAAGTATACTCTCCTTGAAAGGACATGTTGCGCCTTGACTTGGGTGGCACAAAAGTGGAAGCATTATCTATCGTCCTACACTACTTACCTCATTTCTCGTATGGATCCTCTAAAGTCTATCTTTTAGAAGCCTATGCCCACAGGAAGACTTGCAAAGTGGAAGATTTTGCTCACAGAGTTTGACATCGTCTATGTGACCCGGACTACGATGAAAGCTCAAGCCTTAGCCGATCATTTGACCGAGAACCCGGTGGATGAAGAGTATGAGCCATTGAGAACTTATTTTCCCGATGAAGAGGTAATACATACCTAGCAGGATGAAAAGCCAGGTTGGAAACTTTTCTTTGATGGGGCCGCTAACATGAAAGGTGTTGGAATAGGGGTTGTGCTCATTTCTGAAATAGGGCATCACTACCCTGTAACAGCCAACTTCATTTCTATTGTACCAATAACATGGCCGAATACGAGGCGTGCATTCTGGGTTTGAGGTTAGTTGTAGGCATGGGAGTTCAGGAAGTATTGGTTTTGGGAGATTCAAATCTGCTGGTGCACCAGATTCGGGGAGAATGGGAGACTCGAGATTTGAAGCTCATACCGTATCGACAATGTCTGCATGATCTTTGTCAACGATTCAGATCAATAGAATTCAAGCATATTCCCAGGATCCATAATGAGATTGCCGATGCTTTGGCTACTCTAGCGTCAATGTTACATCATCCGGATAAGGCTTATGTCGACCCTCTGCATATTCAAGTTCGCGATCAGCATGCCTATTGTAACATGGTTGAGGAGGAATTGGATGGTGAACCTTGGTTCCATGATATTCGGGAATACATCAAGTCAGGGATGTATCCGGTACAGGACACAGGTGATCAAAAGAGGACCATTCGACGTCTGGCTAGTGGAATTTTCTTGAGCGGGGGAATTTTGTACAAGAGAACTCCAGATCTTGGACTGCCGAGGTGCATAGATGCCAAACAAGCTTCGACCATCATGGCTGAAGTGCATTCCGGAGTTTGCGGCCCGCATATGAGTGGATATGTTTTGGCAAAGAAAATTCTTCGAGCAGGTTATAATTGGCTCACCATGGAACGAGATTGCATCAGCTTCGTGCGCAAATGTCATCAATGCCAGGTACACGGTGATCTGATTTACTCTCCGCCATCTGAGTTGCATAAAATGTCTGCACCTTGGCCCTTTGTTGCTTGGGGCATGGATGTCATTGGACCAACTGAGCCGGCAGCGTCGAACGGGCATAGGTTTATTTTGGTGGCCATTGATTATTTCACCAAGTGGGTCGAAGCTGTAACTTTCAAATCTGTGACCAAGAAGGCAGTGGTAAATTTTGTTCACTCAAATCTCATTTGCCGGTTCGGAATCCCCAAGGTAATCATCACAGATAATGCTGCAAATCTCAACAGCCATCTGATGAAAGAGGTATGCCAACAGTTCAAGATTATGCATCGAAATTCCACTCCGTATTGCCCCAAGGCAAATGGAGCTATTGAGGCGGCCAACAAGAACATAAAGAAGAGAATGGCAAGAGCATACAACAAGAAGGTGCGTCCCTAGAAATTTGAAGTGGGTCAGCAGGTATTGAAACGCATCCTTCCACATCAGGCTGAAGCTAAAGGCAAGTTCGCCCCAAACTGGCAAGGGCCGTTCATTGTAACGAGAGTGTTGCCCAATGGTTCTTTGTATTTAACAGATATAGAAAGCAAATGTGTAGATATGGCTGTCAATTCTGATGCAGTTAAGAGATATTATGTATGATGTCTTTGGTTTGTTTGCAATTGTGTTGTTTGTATTTGGCATCGTTTCGAAGATTAGAATGACGAAGGCTTGTTATTCTGCTATCTAAACACTTTTATCCTTTGTTACCCTTTTTGAGCCTTATTTATTTTCTTTCATACCCCTCTTTTGGAATCAGAAGCAGAGTTCATAAATAATAAATAAAGAGATAAAAGGGAAAAAAAGAAGAGAAAACTGAAAAAGAGTAAAGCAGAAGAAAGAAAAGAAAAAGAGAAGAAAGGAAAAAGAAAAGAGAGCAAAAGAAAAGTAGCAAAAACAAAGCAACTCCTATGTCTTGAACTACGTTCGACCTGATTCCTTTTAAGGATACGTAGGCATCCCTAAGGTTCGGTCCCATCAGAATAAAAATCCAAAATTCCCCAGACTCAAAGAAACTGGGGCAGAAGTTGTAGTGTTGCGAAAGATCTGATTCCAAAAGTTATAATTTTGAACCCTGTTATTTAAAACTGTTTTTGAGCTTGCATGCCACATTTCTTTCTAACCCCGTTCAAAAGCCTACACTACGGTCCAAAGGAAGTCCTTCCGATCAATCTTTGAAAAATGCTAAGTCAAGCGAGCTAGAGGTATGATTCACATCATGGGTAACACATTTGTTCATGGGCACGAGGAAAAATGAATAAATGAGAGAGTCTTATTGGTGAAAATCCTTACGGGCACCGTAAGGCGATGGAAAGCTGAGAGAAAATTAAAATGAGAGAGTCTTATTGGTGAAAACCCTCGCGGGCACCGTAAGGCGACGGTGAGTTGAGAGATGAACAAATGAGAGAGGTTTGCTGGTGAAAACCCTTCAGGGCACCATAAGCCGAATGAGGTTTGGGACTTTGCAGAGAGATTGGATTATGGGAATCCCGTTCGTAAAGTATGAAGACGGGGCATGAACTGAAATGTGATTGGGTGAATGGATTGGCTAATTAATCCGAAATGCATGTCATGATCATTGGTGCCAGCTGCTCCACTCAGATAAGTCTCTTTTCCATTCTTCCTCAAATAGTCATCTTGTTTCAAAATTTTCTTCTTTATTCCTAAATCTCGAAATCAGTTTGTTTTATTTTCTTTTGGGTCTACTTCTCTAAGTCTTGCTCAATGGTAGCCTTGTTAAGCAAGCAAGAAAGGATTTCAAAGCCCATTACCAGCTTTCAATTGCACAAAGCAAAAGTCCGGCCAGAGCACATCACAAATGGCATGATTCAGAATAAGCAATACAGTTTTAATGGGAGTTCAAGTGGTCAAATGGCTCGTGAATGTTGAGGAAGTATAACGGTTCAAAATTGGCAAGATAGAGTTGTCAAATAACAAGCTGAGTGTAAGCTACTCGGGTTATTCAGGGTTTTGTGGTGAGGTTCGGTTAGAAGGTCAAACAATTCTTTGCTAGCCCAAGGCAGCTAATCAGAACAAAGCATGGCAGGGGAAAGGCCGCCACCTTCAACAGGAATGCCGCAAACTAACCACCACATTTTCAAACTGATAAGATTTTCTTTGATTGAAATAGGGGCAGGAAATTTCGTTTGTTCTGCAGGAGCCCTCCATGAAGAAAGCAAGGCTCGGAGGCAAGAAATCCTGTTCAGGATCCCCCAGGAAGGGAGCATGGCTCAGGTAAATTCATTCTCGACTGTTCAGGACCCTCCTGGATAATGAGATTTAAGTTTAAGTTTTCAGGACCCTCCTGGATAATGGGATTTAATTTCAAGTTTTCAGGACCCTCCTGTATAAAGGACCCTCCTGAATAATGGAATTTAATTTCAAGTTTTCAGGACCCTCATGGATAATGGGATTTAATTTTAAGTTTTTAGGACCCTCCTGGATAATGGGATTTAATTTCAAGCTTTCAGGACCCTCCTGGATAATGGGATGAATTTCAAGCTTTCAGGACCCTCCTGGATAATGGGATTTAATTTCAAGTTTTCAGGACCCTCCTGGATAATGGGATTTAATTTCAAGTTATCAGGACCCTCCTGGATAATGGGATTTAATTTCAAGTTTTCAGGACCCTCCTGGTTGATGGGATTTAATTTCAAGTTATCAGGGCCCTCTTGAATAATGGGATTTAATTTCAAGTTTTCAGGACCCTCCTGGATAATGGGATTTAATTTCAAGTTTTCAGGACCCTCCTGGATAATGGGATTTAATTTCAAGTTTTCAGGACACTCCTAGATAATGGGATTTAATTTCAAGTTTTCAGGACCCTCCTGGATAATGGGATTCAATTTCAAATTTTCAGGACCCTCCTGGATAATGGGATTTAAGTTTAAGTTTTCAGGACACTCCTGGATAATGGGATTTAATTTCAAGTTATCAGGACCCTCTTGGATAATGAGATTTAATTTCAAATTTTCAGGACCCTCCTGGATAATAGGATTTAATTTCAAGTTATCAGGACCCTCCTAAATAATGGGATATAGTTTCAAATTTTCAGGGCCCTCCTGGATAATGGGATACAGTTTCATGTTGTCAGGACCCTCCTGGATAATGGGATCTAGTTTTAAACTCTGAGAGACCCTTTGGTTAACAGGATCCGATTAACTCTTATAGAGGTTCCCAGTACCAAACTGGGGCAGAAAAGTTTGTTTTGTTTGTTTTGTCATAGTAGCAGACACCCACCTGGAAAACAAGGGAAGTCATTCCAAGTATTAGGTCAAGTAGCAAGCACCCACCTGGAGAACAAGGGAGGTCATTCTAAGTGTTAGGTCAAGTAGCATGCACCACCTGGAGAACGAGGGAATTCATTTCAGAGTTAAGTTCAGAGTCCAAGACAACAACAGGAACTCGCCTGATGAATGGGATCAATTCAAGTTAGAAATAAGAGAAGTTTGCCTCGAGAACGCGAGCTAACAGTTTAAGATGCGCGGCAGAATTGC